GCCTTGCATGCATGAGGCCCTGGGTTCGATTCCTCAGCACCACATAAGCAGAAAAATAAAAAGCCAGAAGTGGCGCTGTGGCTCAAGTGGTAGAGTGCTAGCCTTGAGCTGAAGAGCTGAAGGACAGCACCCAGGCCTAGCGTTCAGGCCCCACGACTGGACCCCCCCCCCCCCAAAAAAGAAATGTACTCATTATCTTGCCCATGGAATTGTAACCCCTCTGGTACACAATTAAAAAAAAAACCTCAATACCATAAAAAAATTCTTGAGCTCCAACAGTCCCACCAAACACATACAAACTCAAAATACTGAAATCATAACTACTATTCAACTTCTTTAGAACTTAAAAAAATAACTTACTTTGGTTGCCTGCTGGATTATACTATCCCACACTTGATTAGGGAGTAGCATGTATTTTTCTATCAAATGTTCTTGGACTGTTTGGTCTGTCTGTGCACCAATCATGTATCCCACAGCTTCATAAAATGTATGAACCTATTTTTAAAAGACGTATTTTAACTTTCACACACACACACACACACATATATATATATACATCTTAAAATACTAAAATTGATGTAGGCTAAAAGCCTAATTAATAAACTTATCTAAGTTATTGGCTCATTATTAAAATTTCTCCCAGAAACACTTGAATGGTACAATATGGCATTCTATTGCCATTAGTATAGCTACCTTAATGCTAGCTTATGTATCACATACCTGCTGAGGCTGAAGATCACAAATTATAGTGTTAATGTTGTTTAAAATCTCATCAATAAACGGCATCACTTCTCCAACCTGAACCTGAACGAAATGCCTGCGGCATTTTTGAGCTATTTTGATGAAAGTATCACAAGCCATGTCCTGCACTCCATCATGGGTCTCTAACAAAACAAAAATGTATGTATTTTTTTCTACAAAATTTAACACAATTTAAAAAACAAAAACTGAAAGAAGAAATTTACCATGCATGAATTCAAACAGCTTGTTAACTACTGTCTTCAAAAACTTCCAGTGAGCTCTTAAAAATCTTGGATATTGACCTACTATGTACATGATATTTGATGCAATAATTGCTTTATTATCTTTGCCTCTTTTCTGTTCACATAATCCTAATAGATCCTGCAAAAGGAAACAAATTTAGGCTTTACATGATAAAAAATTTCTACTTAATGCTATTTCTTACATATTTGTCACATACCTTTATAACAGTAACAAGAAACCGTTTTTCATCCTCTTCATGCATTGCTCCACTAATGGAGCCTATTGCCCAACATAACGTATTCAAATTCTTCCAAGACCACTCTGTACCATTCACTTGATTGTGAAGTTTCTCAGTCATTATTCTTTCTGTATCTACATAATCCAGATGAGTAAGGTAAACTACAAAAAAGGAAAGATTCCAAATATTACCAAGCATAACAATGTGTCACAAAAACTTTTTTACTGAAGGTTAACAGTGTTTTATTAATAAACATTGCTACTACAAGATTTAGGCAAATATCACTAAGCCTAAGAAGTATTTCCACTTATGAATATGTGCAGAAAGGTACAGGTTAAATTAACAGTATTTTCTAACTTACCTAATGTCTCTCTCATATTCTTATACAAATTTATGGAATCTGTATCTTTCATGAATTCTCTCACTACTTCTCCCTGATCGTTTTCTACAACCAGTACTTCCTCTGGTTTAGCCATTCGACTAACCATCAATAAACGAACCTATTCATAAATAAAACAATCAAGAAAAATCTGTTAGACATTTGCAACTGCAGGATTCAGAGAAGATACTTAAGGTGTACACTTATATTTTTACCATACTAAACCAAAATCATTCTCACAAAAATAAACTATTAAAAAACTTTTTGTCTGTATGTGTGCCAGTACTGATGTCTGAACTCCCAGACTCATGCTCTTGACTTTTATTTTTCACTCAAGACCAGTATTCTACCCCATGTAGCCGACCTCTACTTTCTGTTTTTGGTGCCCCTACCGAGGCATAATACATGGCCTAGATCCTGTTCCTTAGCTTTTTCCTTCATGGCTGGTTCTCTACCACTAGAGTCACTGCTTCACTTCTGGATCTTTGTTAATTGGAGTTAAGAGTCACATGGACTTTCTTGCTTGTGCTGGGTTTGAATGCAATTCTCAGACTTCAACTTCTACATGAGCTAAAATTAGAAGTGCTAGCCAGTGGTGCCTGGCTAACTTCTGTATTTTGCTGGTTAATTGCAGAATTGCTACCCAGGTTGACTTTAATCCTCAGATCTCAACATCCTAAGTTTTCAAAGAGTATAAGGCACTGCCACCCTGCTAAACTATCAAGGAAAATTTTAATGTAACTTTGCAATGCTTTTTTTAAAACCATATTTTACAGCAGTTTCCTATGTCTCATTCTCAGATTGATTCAGTAGGTTGGCTGAGAGTCATTGTGATAATGATGCTGGCACAGGGACCATACCTTGAGATCTACAGCTCTTAAACTAGTGTACATATTCATCACTTGTTGAGAAGTTGCCTGGTACCTTTTACAGTTTATTAATTGAAACATTAGTGAAATCATTTTTACTTAGCTCAAATTTAAAGCAGTAGAAAAATTACACCACTTTTCTATTGTCACCTTTGATAACACGGGTAAATACAGCTGCCTCCTGGGAGGAACATCAAAATGCTGACTTCCAGAGAGCAATGGAGAAGCAGATGTAGAAAATGGGCTCTCTCTATAGAGTTCAGCTGCCAGATGATTCCAGTATTCAAGACAAATCTTAAAGATTTCAGTTTCTTCCACTTCAGATACCAACAACATATAATGAAGGGCCTACATATAAAATCAATGACATTAAGTAGTTGTTATAACACACTGTAACCAATTCCAAGCTCTCTCTTACCATTCTATTCTGGGCCTGGGCGCTGTCCCTCAGCTCTTCAGCTCAAGGATAGCGCTCTACCACTTGAGCCACAGCGCCACTTCTGGCTTTTTTCTTTTTGCTTATGTGGTGCTGAGGAATCGAACCCAGGGCCTCAGGCATGCAAGGCAAGCGCTCTACCACTGAGCCAACTTTCCAGCCCTTACCATTCTATACTTGCTTGAGATAGCACGTTAATATGTAGCTCAAGATGACTTCAAATTAGCTATTTTCCTGCTATTCTACTAGGAGTACAGATGTGTACTACTATGCTGACCTTGCTTTTTGAGATATGGTAGGCAGGAACGACTCAACACATTGTTTTTTTAAGGTAAAAATAACCTTATAAACCTATTTATTATTTTTTTGTCACAGTCATGGGCTTGAACTCTGGACCTTGGCGCTGTCCCTCAGCTCTTCAGCTCAAGGTAAGTACTCTACCACTTGTGCCACAGTACCACTTCTGTTTTTCTGGTGTCAACTGGAGATAAAAAATCTCATGTCCTGGGCTGGGAAGGTGGCTCAGTGGTAGAGCGCTTGCCTTGCACGCATGAGGCCCTGGGTTCAATTCCCCAGTACCACATAAGCAAAATGAAAAAAAAAAAAAGCCGGAAGTGGCACTGTGGCTCAAGTGGTAAAGCGCTAGCCTTGAGCTGAAGAGCTGAGGGACAGCGCCCTGGCCCAGAGTTCAGGCCCCACAACCGGAACCCCCCACCCCCCAAAAAATCAATCTCATGTCCTGCCGGGCGCAGGTGGCTCACGCCTATAATCCTAGCCTACTCAGGGGGCTAAGATCTGAGGATTGTGGTTCAAAGCCAGCCCAGGCAGGAATTCCATGAGACTCTTATCTGCAATAAACCACCAGAAAACTGGAAGTGGTGCTGTGGCTCAAGCAGTAGAGCGCTTGCCTTGAGCTGAAGAGTTGAGGGATAGCACCCAAGTAGAGTTCAAGCACCACAACCGACAAAAAAAGAACAACAAAAAAACCAACTCATGTCCTTTCCTGCTGGGGCTGACTTTGAACTATGATCCTCAGATCTCAGCCTCCTAAGTAGCTAGGATTACAGGCGTAAACACCTGGCATTGAATCTAATTTTAAGACACTGTCTTACACTATGTGGCCCACGGTGGCTTTAAAATTTCTTTCTTCACACACTTACTATTCACAGGAGTTTGTCACCAAGTTGTTAAAAATCTAAGTTTGATTGTAAATGTTTATTCTTAGCTTTATAGAAAACACAAAAGCAAGTAATGGCTTATAATGCACAAGTTAAGAACTCTCAAAGCTTTATACATCTTTGAAGGCACATGTTTAGAGCTGCTTTTATAATGTATCAATTTTCAGGTACCAAGAATCCACAAAGTTTACCTCCATGAGTGTTTCCCTGAGATTGAGTCTTTTCTCTATAAGTTGACCATGTTCTTTCAGAAAGGTGCAGAGAAATAAACTGAGATTTTGAATAAAGTTCTGTTCGTCATCTTTTCCATTTGAGTATGCAAGTCGAATATTAGTATTTAAGGGAAGCATCTGTGAAGTTAAAATTCACTATTAGTTTCTATCATATAAACCTAACAAAAGAAATTATTTTAAGCTTTTAAGATTCCAAAATCGGTATTTTTTTTTGGAGGGGGGGTGAGTCCTGGGACTTGAACTCAGGGCCTGGCCACTGTCCCTGAGCGTCTTTTCCTCAAGGATAGCACACTATCATTTCAGCCACTGCACCACTGCCAGCCTTTTCTGTTTATGTGGTTCTGAAGAGGCGAACCCAGGGCTTCAAGCACTACCAATAAGCCATTTCCAGCCCCCACCAAGTCTCTTTTTTTTTTTTTTGGGTCCGGTCGTGGGGCCTGAACTCTGGGTCTGGGCGCTGTCCCTCAGCTCTTCAGCTCAAGGCTGGCGCTCTACCACTTGAGCCACAGCGCCACTTCTGGCTTTTTTCTTTTTGCTTATGTGGTGCTGAGGAATTGAACCCAGGGCCTCAGGCATGCAAGGCAAGCACTCTACCACTGAGCCACCTTCCCAGCCCCCCACCAAGTCTCTTATACCAATTTGTTTTATTATAACCTGGACTGATTCTTTCTCTCTTTTTTTCACATCACACAGGTAATGTGCTCACAAGGTCCCAGGGAGGCACATGTCACACAGGCATGTGAGGACCTAATCATCACACTCACATTTATAAACCTTTCAACTCCCTGATAAGTGACACTGAAAATGCAAAGTCAATCCACTGATAAAAAATAGTAATATAGCATTAGAATTGTTTTTCCTAATCACTTCTGATAACTAGTCATGCTGGGGTGGACTTTCTCAGACAAAATATCACCAATCTGAGGCTTCACTAGCAATCCAAAAAAGCACACTGAGGGGCAGTTCTCACGGTAGTTCCCACATTTCTAATATATTTCAAAACATTTTTGGAAGTTCGGTCTGGTAAGGTGGCTCAGTGGTAGAGCGCTTGCCTTGCATGCCTGAGGCCCTGGGTTTGATTCCTCAGCACCACATAAGCAAAAAGAAAAAAGCCGGAAGTGGTGCTGTGGCTCAAGTGGTAGAGCGCTAGCCTTGAGCTGAAGGACAGCGCCCAGACTCAGAGTTCAGGCCCCACGACTGGACCCAAAAAAAAAAAAAAAAAATTGCAAGTTCTTAATAATTACAAATTTCATAAAAATAATCAGATTAGCCAGGCACTGGTGGCTCATGCCTGTAATCCTAGCTACTCAGGAGGCTGAGATCTGAGGATCGCGGTTCAAAGCCAGTCCGGGCAGGAGAGACTGTGAGACTCCTATCTCCAATAAACCACCAGAAAATCCGAAGTGGTGCTGTAGCTCAAGTGGTAGAGCGCTCGCCTTGAGCTGAAGAGGTAAGGGACAGCGCCCAGACCCACAGTTCAAGCCCCACGACCTACCAAAATAATAATAATAATAATAATCAGATTATGGCCAATCTGTGCTAAAACAATGCAACCTGACCCCAACATTTTCAAAGGCACTAAAATTGTTGGGTCAATTTTCAGAATACTGGTATATTACCTGTTTTAGCTGCATCATTGTCAGTGTAAATAGTGTTACAAATTGTTCTTCATATTGGCTTACACTCACACCAGCAATCTCAGTGAGGCACTTTAGAGAAACATTTCGAAACATTGGAACATTCAGGAACTGTTTGCAAAAAAGAGCAAAAAGCAAAATTAAATGACACAAAATACTTGAAGTTAACATAGGGGAAGTTGGTGCTATCAGAACACAAGGATACATAACACAGATGAGTGATACATTACATTTTGCACATGAACCCAGACACGTACTTTTTTTGACTTTATAATCTACCAATGTATACTAAATGCCTTTGGGGAATTGTTATTGTTATTATAAAGATGTACAAAAGGGTTACAGCTATATTAGTCAGGTCGAGTACATTTCTTTTTGTACAAGATCATGCTTTCCTTTGTTCTCGTCCCAGTTTTTCCCTCCCATCCCCAACCACAGCTGTATAGTTCATTTTCAACATAGTGTCTCATGAGTATCACCCTCATTAAATGTTCACCCTTTCTCACTCCATTTCTGTATCCTCCTTACTCTCCCAAAGACAGACAGTAACAGCAACACAGAGAAAACTCTTGTTTCCATTTCCTGGAATTCACTTCAATATTGATTTATATGATCAGATGCACATGGGTACTCTGACTTTGTATTCTACAGCTAAAAGTATCCTCCTTTATCTCACTGTGTAGTAATGGGCATTGAATTCAAGACTTTTAAGTAAGTGCTCTTTTTGTTTCTATTCTTTTTTTTTTTTTTTTGCCAGTCCTGCATCTAGAAAGTAAGAGCCTATATGCTGTTTTATGTTTAAGACTAGCACTCTACTACTTGAGCCATAGTTCTACTTCTAGATTTTTTCCCCATAATTGGAAATCAGTCTTATGAACTTCCCTACTAAGGTTAGAGTCAAACTGTGATCCTCAATCTCAGATTTCTGGGTAGCTAGGATTATAGTATGAACCAACTGTGCCTAGCTTGTACTTTCTGTTGTTGTTTGTCAGTCCTGGGGTTTGAACTCAAGGGCCTGGAGCACTGTCGCTGAACCTCTTTTTACTCTAGCACTCTACCACTCTGAGCAACAATGCTCAGTTTTCTGGTAGACTGGCTTGGAACCATGATCCTCAGATCTCAGCCTCCTGAGTAGCGAGGATTATAAGCATGAGCTACCAGGACCCAGTTGTACTTTCTATAAAATGGTATCACATTTAACTTTACCCAGGCTCATCATAGATCTAGAGATCCTCCTGCCCCTACACCTATCAAAGACCACCATCCAGCTATAATATGCTTTCTTCTGATGGTGTCCAATCATCTGAAAAGCAAAGTTACTTACTACAAACTTCTGCCTGACCTACTATATGACTTTCAAGAACATCATGAACTAGATCTAATACGTTGACTGCTTACGATTTTTAAAGTGGGGGGGGGGGCAAGGAGAGGATGGGAAGGGATGGGGAAACAAAGGGGGAGGCTACAATGCTTGATGTACTTATTGTCTTGCCCAGGTAATTTCATTTCACAATGAAAAAAAAAGACTTTAAAGCAGGATTGGTAAGCAGGCACTAAGTCATGAATGGCACTTGTGGGTGGCAATTTGGTAAGTATTAAAAACCCTAAGTGAAGACTGTATTCTTTGCCTCATATACAATATACATCTGAGGGAAGGTGGAGGGAAGCGCACAGAATCAGCGCAAAACAGGTGAAAATGTGCAGCAGTGGGGACCATTGACTGCACTGGACATTGATGAAAGCTAACCAAGTAACTCATGGGAGGAGATAGGAGGGAGGGAATAAGAGAGAATGAGGGAACAGATGATACCAAGCAAAAAGAAAGAAATGTACTTATCACCTGACAGGTCAAGATAACCCCCACTGTATATCGCCTCTAAAACAACAAATTAAAAAAAAAATGAGAAGTAGAACGTGAGGCCTGGCTCAAGTAGAACACCAGCTGTGATAACCAAGTAAGAGGATAAGATCTAAGTTCAAGTTCCAGTAACAGCATGATGAATGAGAGATGGGGCGGGGAAGGAGAGGAGGAAGTGATGCAGCCTGTTATCCCAAACAAACAGGCTGAGATAGGATCAACCTAGAATATCAAGGATCTCAAAAAACAACAAAACCCAAAACAACAAAATGACTTTATAGGTGAACATCCCTTGAACCACAAAGTATTAAAAAGTTATAAAACTCACTTTTTATGTTGTTCAATAAGTACCTTATTCATTACATCTTTCAAGACAATACAACTGATAGTAATATTTATTCAATGAGAAACAGTAACCCAATTCCATAATGGAATAATAGGTTTTTTTGTTTGTTTTCTGCTTTTCTTTTTGCTTTGCCTAGGCTGAGCAAGTGTTTTGGCATTCCTACTCTGAATTTTGAGCCAGGGTGCTACTGAGTAGCTCAAGCTGGCACTGGACTAACTATACAGCTCAGACTGGCCTCAAAAATCACAACTTCTCTGCCTCCTCAGTGATGGTGTTACAGGTAGGTGCTACCATGCCTCAGGATTTTGAGGCTCATGACTAACAATTACTAGCTGCAACGCTGGAAAAGTCTTTTTGAGCAGTTTCTTCAAATTACCATTCTGAATGAAAGCAAACAGTTTCTAAGACAAAAACTTTAATAAATCCATTTTACCTTATAAATTAATGTGCTGATTAACTTGGTCTCAAAAATATATCCCAGTGGAATCCAGTTCAGAAATCTCAACAGTGTTTCCAAGGTTGCATGTACAAGTGGAGCATTTTGAGAATTTTCCTGGTGACAAAAACATGTTAATAATTACTTTCCATTAATTTCACCTTGAGTGTGTGGGAGGGGTGTGTGTGGGGGGGGGGGGGGGGAGGGGGTGCCAGTCCTGAGTCTTTAAGTCAGGGCCTGGGTGTATCTGCTAAGAAGCATTTTATGCTTAAGGGCAGTGCTCCACAGTTTGAGTCACACCTCTTCTTCCAGCATTTTGGTGGTTTAATTGGCAGTAGAATCTAACTGTATTTAAGTTTCGTGGACTTTCCTGCTTGGGCTACCTTTGAGCCATTACCCTCAGATCTCAGTTTCATCAGAACCTAAGATTGCAGGCATGAGCCACCAAAGCCTGGCCAATAGTTAATAATCATAAAAGTGAAATCTAAGTACTTACCATTACAAACTGACAAAGCTGAAATATTTGTGAGAATTCATTGCACATGCTAAAAAAACAACAAAAACACGTCAGGATGAGAAGACAGAAAAACACCCTAATTATGTACAATTCAATAAAAATAATAAATGCTGAGCTCAATGGTACATACATCTATAATCCTAGCACTTGAGGTGGAGTTCAAGGATAGCTTGGACACATGGTAAGATTTTCTCAAAATCAAAACAAATGACACCCTTCCCCCAATACCAAACAACAAAAAGCCCAGTAAAAAACCTTGGCAATCTGGTCAATGAGGTGATTTCTAAGAGAACACATGTAAGGCATCAATAAAAGTCTACAAGCCATTAAAAATTACAATTAAGCATCAGGTGTGGTAGTATATGCATGTGGTAGTATATGCACTGAGGAGGCTGAGGAAAGAGGATCCTGAGTTTGAGGCCAACCTGAATTACTAAGAAAGATCTAGGTTAGCATGGTATACAGCAAGACTGTCTCAAAAATAGAAAACTCCAAAATCAAATTATAAACACTTTCTATTACCATTTCTTAAGATTAGAATTATATAGGTATAGTCAACAACCATCAGCTACATTTGCTGTTTAAAGGTTTACCTATCAAAACCCTACATTTCATATCTTAAAAGATATGTGAAGAAAGTGTTTCCTAACAGTGCTATTGTTTCAATAATTTAAATCAAGGTTGTCCCTTTAAGACATCAAAAAAAAAAGCCTTCCCCAAAACTGTATTCAATTATTAAATGGTATTTAAAGTTACATGTGTACCCCTCCCTTATCTGCGGAGAATAAAACCCCAGACGTTAGTAAAAGCATGAAACCATGAATATTCTGAACCCTATAAATTTTTATCACACACTCCACATACACATTCTCATTCTAGTTATAGCACTTACACACAGTAAGATTAACAACAAATAATAAAACAGACAATTGTGTTATCTCTTTCAAAATATCTTATTGTATTCCCACCTTAAAAAAAAAACCTGGGGGGGGGGGG